GCGTATGTGGCTGGCGCCTTAGCCACTTGAGCCACAGGCGCCAAGCCAATTTTAAACATTACTAAAGCAGATCCCTTATTTCCTTTAGAGTTGATTTTTAATTTGTATGTCTTTCATCACAGCCTAAAGCCATTTTTGTATATAAGCATATATATAAGACCATGTATAAAAGACCTGTAGCATGTATTCTACAGACCCTAGTGTGCTTACCTATAAGATAATGAGCATGGACTAAGTTATCCCTGGGGTCCTCTGCCTCTAATTTCATGAGAGATGAACCTCATTTCTGTGCATGTTCAACAGTTTTTAGCAGATATTTCTCCTGCTGGCAATATGAAACCCCCATGACACTATGAAAACATGCCACCTTCCCACTGGCTGTAAACTAAGCATTGCAGGAAGAGCTGCATTCCTACAGTACAGAAGAAATGAAGTACAATTTTAACTTTGTCTTTAAAGACCTTTTCTGTGGGGTTGAATCTTCTCTGCTGTGGGTTGAATCATCCTGGGAGCTCTCTAATCACAGCCAATCTCTCAGTAACATGATTAGACTTTGATATTGGTGGCCTACATTAAAAATATCACCATATACCTTTTAATTAGCTTAATTTTAAATAGATCACTATTGAATTTAATAGTCTTGAGATTGAGATTAACAAGACATCAGCTAAGTGCTGAATCCAGTCCTTCTGTGTTCCTCTAAACTTCAAGGGATGCAGCAGTGTTTTCTCTTGCAGGCTGGATCAGGTGGTGATTCACGTAGGGGCCCTGAGCTTGAAGGAGTCACAAGAATTGGTATGTATGGGAATCTGTCTGGGAGAGACCATTCAAGGGGCTTCCATTTTTATGAGACTGAAGCACTACCTACTGTGCTAACGGGGCACCTGGAGCTTCCATTTTTAGGCTGAAGTTAAAATCAAGACCACTTTTGCTATATGGTAGATAATAGTGCCTGAAAAGATAAGGTGTGGGGCCTCAGGGACTTACTGTCTGGAAGGAGGTACTGTGCCACAAAGAAGAAGGTGTAGCCCAGCGTGACGGTACTGTGGGACAGGAGACAAGGCACCTTCCTCCAAGGAATGATGTAGCTGAGTTTGCATGTAAGGACAGACTTGCAGAACTTGATCCAACTTCAGTTTTCTCTGTTAAGTAGAAGGCAGGGCCATCTGCTGGACACAAAGGGGATAAAAGAATAATGGCTTGAGGGGTTAAATGTGATATGCTACCTTGACAGAAAGGATGAGAGAGCTGAAACAGGAAAGGATTGCTTAGTGGTGCTGAAAACCAACTAACGATGTAAGTCATAAATCTGTCATATCACCATTCAACACAGTTGTGGAATTTTTTTCTGGGTGCACTCTTCAGCCAGAACATAGAAACAAGAATGCAGACAATTAGGTTGCTCTAAGTTTAGGGATTAGCAAGTTAGGTAGTACAAAAGCTAGGGAGGAAGGAGTTAAAGTTGTTAACAGAAAAGCAGATGGTGTGGTAGTTTTGAGGCCTAGGTGAATAGGTTAAGAAAAGAAGGCACAGAGATGTTTAGAACTGTTTACCAGAAGGTCTAAGGCCTGGATTGCTACAGATTGACCATGTTTCCAAAATTTAGATAGTCTAACTCAAAAGAGTAAAATGATTTTATCTAGCCCAACATCATCTTGATGGGTTTTGTTTTGATGGTTTTTCCTATCATTTGGATTTAGAAATGGTATGAATAACATATACTTAAAAAATTGCAATTTGGTGCTCTTAGGCAAGCCCCAAGCCTCTAGTTAGTATTACTAGACTGTTAAGCCTAGAATCAGAATTTGGGGATTTGATTGGATCTTACAAAAGGTCTTTCAACAAAGGTAGCATGGTATAGGGGATATTTTTTCTTTTTCTTCTCTTTCAGCTGCTTTCTTTTCTAATATGTAATGTAAATTTTAAAATATTGTCTCATTATGACGTGAAAGGCCATGTTATTCATTAGGCTGAACACAAGAATGGTATAGAGATAATCTTGAAATAGAGATAGTCTTCTGGTATAAGGATGATCTCCTGGTATATGGCATAGTGTTGCCAAGGAGACAATTACATTGGCCTCTGTAGCCCTTGCTCTCCATCAGATGATGCTTGAATGGACATTACTAGCAGCTGTCTTGGGTGTTTCCTTTTTTCCTTACTTTCAGCTTAGGTTGCCCATCTACTCTTTTCCTAAACAAATGATTCAAATATATCTCACTCTGATTCTAGGCTAATGAAATTATACCCAATATTTTGATTGGTCTTTGGGCTATATCTCAATGTTCTCTTCTTAACTGTCCTAGTTTACTTCTGCAGAAAGTTGATCACCTTTATTCAATACAAATATTACAAGTTAAAGTCTCAGAAGGAAGCCCTGTCCCACTTTTAGGTAGTGGGGCATTTTCTGAAATAATCAATAAGCATCTACTGAGTGCCTGCCTGTGCCCAGCACCATGATTGTCCTGGACTCAGGAGTGAACAAGATCTGACCCCTCCCCTCAGGGAATTCACACCCTAGTTGGAGGAGAGTCACCATACACAACTGTCTTACAATGTGATAGATTTAGGTACTCTACTTGAATTATAAGGGCCCAGTGAGAGGAAATGTTAATTGTTTCTGGAGGAATTTGAAAAAGCATAAGAACCCTGGTGCAAACCTTTCCCAACTGCATACAATCTTTTTTGTTTGTTTTTGAGACAGAGTCTCACTATGTCACCTTCAGTAGAGTGCTGTGGTGTCACAGCTCACAGCAACCTCAAACTCTTGACCTTAAGCAATTCTCTGGTCTCAGCCTCCCAAGTAGCTGGGACTACAAGCACCTGCCACAACGCCTGGCTATTTTTTTGTTGCAGTTGTCATTGATGTTTAGCTGGCCCAGGCCAGGATTGAACCCGCCACCCTCCATGTATGTGGTCGGCACTGTAACCACTGTGCTACAGGTGCCACCCCATGCATACAATATTTAATACAAATTTTAAAATATGACTGTTGTATCATTGAACAGAAAATACAGTGTCATCCAGTAGGCTGAACAGCAGAAGAGAAATTACATCAGCAAGTATCTCTATGAGCAATTATCATTTATCAGAATGAACCACTTGTCTCCTTAGCAAGATGTTTTTTTTCCTTGTACTGACAAAACTATGGAGAAGTATGAGATTAAGTGCACAGCTCACCTTCACCAGGGATCCCTACTTTGCAACCTGGGATTTTCCTGGCAATGATATTTATCATTAAATTTGGCTCATTTTTCTACTCTCCAGTGGTGTTTCAGTTGGCAGACCTAAAGAGCTTTTTAGTGAACTCTAGTATCTACGCTGTAGGTGACTGTAATAAATCACTTATTTCAGTATTTCACTTCTCTCTTCCTTTAAAGGCCCAACATGCAGCAGAAATAGGCGCCGATGGCATTGCTGTCATTGCACCTTTCTTTCTCAAGCCATGGAACAAAGGTAATCAGTAGATAGGTCTAAATATACAATGCCTCACATGGTCTACTATTTCTTGCCTCCATTTAAAATGGCTATACTTAATTCAGAAAAGCAAAGTCCTATGGACTGGAGGCCTGAAGTTGTGATGATATAGTGGTTCTCTGGAATATTTATTCTCCCTGGATTCAGAAAAGTGACCACATTAAAAGACTTTGATTATTTTCCCAAATAATCTGATTGGGTCATGCACCAAGCCCCTGGTTGATCTGTACGTGCCTGTGTTTTGGTTAGGAGTCTGTTGTGTAGAATGACAAAGTCACATAGCAAAACATGGGACTATTTTTCTCAAAAGAAAGGAGTATAAGTGACAAGCAATTTTGAGACTATATAGTCAAGTTTGAGTAAGTGCAGAATTAGAGAGATTTTACGGAAATACTGTCTTCTGAATTTCCAAAATATCAAAGTATTGCTTTCTCTGTGGAAACTTTTTATGGTGTCCAAGTATGCTAGGTCTTTTTAGTCCTTCTGAGTAGTAAAAAACGAAATAAAAATTTTAAAAGGATAGCAACAGACAAGATGTCATTTGCATATATGATTAAATAAATTCATGAGTAAATGTATAAGAGGCCAAAATATCCCCTATTGTTGGTAGATAGAAAAGGGTTGTTAACGTAGATAGGTAATTTAAATATTGCTAATTCAAGGATTTAAAATGAACATTTTTGAAGTTTTTTTCACAAGCTTTTATAAATTTTTACATTAATATTTTCCTAAAAGATGAACAAAGGAGAAATGATGAATTATACATAATAATTTGCCAGAAATATTTATCATAGGCTGAATATATCATCACAGTATTCAGATAAAGTACGTAAAACTGGCTCAGCGCCTGTGGCTCAAGTGGCTAAGGCGCCAGCCACATACACCTAAGGTGGTGAGTTCGAATCCAGCCTGGGCCTGCCAAACAAGAAGGCCGGCTACAACCAAAAAATAGCCAGCCATTGTGGCAAGCACCTGTGGTCCCAGCTACATGGGAGGCTGAGGCAGGAGACTCACTTGAGCCCAGGAGTTGGAGGTTGCTGTGAGCTGTGATGCCATAGCACTCTACCCAGGGGGATAGCTTGAGGCTCTGTCTCAAAAAAAAAAAAGAAAGAAAGAAAAAGTGCTCATCATCCCAAACTGATCAGAGAAATGCAAATCAAAACCACTCTGAGATATCACCTACCTCCAGTGAGATTAGCCCACATCAAAAAATTCCAAATCAGCAGATGCTGGTGTACATGTAGAGAGAAGGGTACACTTTTGCACTGCTGATGGGATTGCAAACTAATATAACCTCTATGGAAAGAAGTATGGAGCATTCTCAAAGAACTAAAAGTTGACCTATTTGATCCCGCAATTCCTTTGAGCCATTGTAAACTTTTTTTTTTTTTTTTGCAGTTTTTGGCTGGGGCTGGGTTTGAACCAGCCACCTCTGGCATATGGGGCTGGCACCCTATCCCTTTGAGCCACAGGTGCCGCCCGATCCCGCAATTCCTTTACTAGGTGTCTACCCAGAAGAAAAAAACATCATTTTATCACAAGCACTAGAATGTTCTTTGTATCTCAATTCACAATTGCCAAGACATGGATGCAAACCAAGTGCCCATCAACCCATGAACGGATTAACAAACTGTGGTATATGGACACCATAGAATACTACTATTCAGCCATAAGAAAAGATACTTTACCTCTTTTCAGTTTACTTGGATGAAGTTGAAACACATTCTTCTTAGTAAAGTATCTCAAAAATGGGAAGAAAAAGTATCCAATGTACTATTACTAATATGAAACCAACATATAAACAACTACATGCCCACACCAAAAAAAATACACAAGTATAGTCTAGCAAGGTGAAGGAGAGAGGAAGAAGAGGGGAGGATAGCAGGGGAGAAGGTGATTGGAGGGATCTCACCTAATGTACACAATGTGATGGTATTCAGCACGGGTGAAGGGCTCAACTACAACTTGAACTTTACTTTAGAAATGAAAACAATGTAACCTAAACATTTGCACCCTCATGTTAATCTGAAATTTAAAAAAAAAAAAAAACAGTATTTTCAGTTTCTGAGAAGGATGGTTGCATTTCATTACATGATTTGTTTTTTCCACCAGGGCAAGCCACTGTTTCATATTTGTTTACACTATGCTGTTCTTTCAGATGTCCTGATTAATTTCCTAAAGGAGGTGGCTGCTGCCGCCCCTGCATTGCCATTTTATTACTATCACATTCCTGCCTTGACAGGGGTAAAAAGTAAGTGCTGCAGCTTTTGATACTTCTTTCCTTCCAAATCTCACATCTCACCCTATTTTACTAAGAAACTCCCACTCTATGCACCCTACCCCATGCCACAAAAGCATAGCTGGGAGTTGACTGGGGAGTTCCAATTGCGTCTAAATATCACTCTAACATCCCAGCTCTTATCAATAATTCACACCACCTTATAATGAAAGTTGCTAAGTGTGAAGTAAAGGCTGACCTCTAGGCACTTGTAGCAGACACCTGTGTCTCTGTCACACACACCCCCTTACTTCTGTGAAAAGACTTGAGACTGTAAGCCCCTCTAGGGCAAGACCATGTTTACCTGGTACCTATTATATTCTCAGTGCCAAACACGCAGGAAGGTACTCTGATCTCTTCTGACTTTTCTTCTAGCTTTTCTTTGTTATTACTGTATTTCTCCAGTGAGAAGCTTTTTATAATTAGATGAAAATTCTTAGCAGATTTTTTTAAGTTCCATTCTATTCTAAACTCCATAAAAGAAAAAATGGGAGGCTATGCTTTATAAACATTCAGAGGAAAAGATAAACTGTTTTTTACTACATTCTACTCTCACACTCACCACTCAAACAAAACATTTCACCTCTGATCACTAAAATGTATGTGGGAATTCCTCCTCACTGACAACCAGTTCTCCACCAGAGACTAACTGGTTGTCCTATAGTTTAATTCTGACACCACTGAACTAGAGTTAGCATCAGATCCTGCAGGTTAAGAACTCAGTCCCCACAAAACTTCCCCCACTTCATGTCAGCCTCAAGTCCCAGATTGTGACCTAGGCTTCTGACCAATTTTGCTATAAAACAGGGTCCCCACAACTTCCTCTCTGGGTTTGATTAATTTGCTAGAGTAGTTCACAGACCTCAAGGAAACACTTTACTTACTACACCTATTTATTATAAAGAATGTTATAAAGGATACAGATAAAGAACCACACGAAGAGATGCTTGGGTATATGAGAAGGATATGGAGCTTCCAGTCCCTCTCCGGGCAAACCACCTTCCAAGGACCATTTATCCAGCAACCCAGAAGCTTTTCAAATGCTGTCTTTTGGAGTTTTATGGAGGTTTTGTTATGTAGGCATGATTGATTATATCATTGGGTGTGGGTGATCAGCTCAACCTTCAGCCCCTCTCTCCTCCCCAGAGGTTAAGGTGTGATTAAAAGTGCCAACCCTCTAATCATGTGGTTGGTTCTGTTAGCAACCAGCCCCCATTCTGAAGCTTTCTCAGAGACCCAGCCCTCCATCAACACAATAGCACACAGAAGGGCTCTTACTACTTTGGAGATTCCACGGGATTTAGGAGCTTTGTGTTAGATGTTCCCATTACTCATGATATTACACAAGTCTTAGGAGCTTTATGTCAGGAACCAGGATCAAAGACCAAAGAATAGAATAAAGTGTTTGTTCTAGCACCCCTGTCTACAAGAGTTTTAAGAGCTTTGTCTCAGGAGCTATGGGCCAAGACCAAATATATCATAAATATCTATCTACTGTCTTTAAGGAACGCAAAGTTTAGGATTATGAGTTGACAAGTACATAGAGGCTACTAGGCAGGGGCAAGTGATTATGCCCAGTCTGCAGTAAGCTCCAGCTGACACGAGCCTATGGCAGCTCAGTGCAGATGTGTGGGGCTATATGCGATGTTATTCCATACACGTATTTCTCAGAGGTATACAGACTGATGAGGCATTTATTGTTTCGAGCAGTTCGTGCTGAGGAGTTGTTGGATGGCATTCAGGAGAAGATCCCCACTTTCCAAGGGCTGAAATTCAGTGACACAGATCTCTTAGACTTCGGGCAATGTGTTGATCAGAATCGCCAGCAGCAGTTTGCTTTCCTTTTTGGTGTGGATGAGGTAAGTCACCTCTTAGCATATTGCAGCAGGTCCGTTTCCCTCTCAAACAACTTCTGTAGTTGTCTGTATAGTAGTAGCATCTCTTCCCTTTCTTTTTTTCATAAAAGTGAATACTCCTTATCTGTTTCTTATTAGCAACTGTTGAGTGCGCTGGTGATGGGAGCAACTGGAGCAGTGGGCAGGTGAGCATGACTCATTTTCCCCAATGATTATAAATTTAAAGTCCCCCAGGGAGACTTTTATCACCAGAATAGCTACACTTCTTGCATGTACATCCTTTCCAGTAGAAATTGCCTCTCTTTCCAACATTTGTCTGCTAAAAGGGAATTAAGTAGGGCTTTATCAGTCTGTTAGAAACTCAGTCACTGTTGTCTACAAGCATCGGTTGCAGGTAGAGGTAAGACCTAGGAGCACATGAGCTGAGGGCATGCACAGCCCTATAACTTAGCAGTAGCTGACCCTTGGTGCTGTAGCCCTGTTGATCATTGTCTCCCAGATAGACTCACACTGTCTTTGTCTGAAATTATTTGGTTACAAATAACAGAGACCTATTCAAAGTAACTTAAGTAAAAGAAGATAAGTTATAAAATACTGGCAAATTACTTAGAATCCAAGAAAAGGAGGTGTAATCAGGCCTCAAAGAGGATGAAAACTAGGAACTGCAAAGTTCTTAATAGCCAAGGAATATCATCTTCTATCTGTGAGGAATATCATCTCTCACCTCTGCGTCTCTCTATACATCTCTTTATTTCTCATCTCTTTCTCTTTTTCCTAATGGGCTCTCTCTGCTTCAACATGCAGTTGGCCAGTGATGGATACCTAATACTGCCTGGTCACATGTCCACCTCATGTTCAACCAGCTGTGGATATACTCAGTGGCTACTCAGAAGGCAGAAAAATTTCAATTAGCGTATCCATTGCACATGTCAACCTAATTCATTAGAATATGCTTGCAAGCAGATTGATTGAGGTTTTACATTAACTGAAGCAAAGTGATACTCATAACATGTTCTTGGTGAGCAAGGTTTGAGGAAGAATGGTTGAGCTTGATAATCTTAATGGCTTGTTCACCTAACCAAGATGGCCTGTGGCATCCTTTGTAGCCGCAGGGTCATTTCTACCAAGGAAGCCTGAATCTTGGATTTGCTGACCATGGAACCTTTTTTCCCCTGGAAATTCTTACTTTTTTGACCATGTGAGACATTTTAATTCAGTCAACGTTATCTATAAGCAAAGCATATTTGGTTAGACTTCATTTTGTCTTAATTATAATCACCTTAAGGTTACATCAAAGACGATTGCAATTCAAATTTTAGTTTTCTGAAACTCCTCAGACATTATTCTTCCTTACTTTATTACCAGAAGATAATGTGAGCTTCACATTCCTGGAATCCCTTGCTATTGATGCAGGGTCTACATATACAAGGACCAATGACATTTCTGTTCTTGGTACATCAAGATAAATACATCTTCTGATACTGACTTACTTTTATTTCATCTTTAAAGAAACTGGAGAAATGTCCTTATCAAGAATCTCTATAACCTTCTATCTTGCTGATTTCTCTAATAATTCTGTCATAAGTCTAAGATTTGTCTTTATTTGTAGAGTTAGAGATTTTTTTTTCTTGAGTCTGTGAGAACATTTTATGAGATTGAATAACTATTCTCAACTTTATTTTTATTCACTTGTCATAGAACCATGAAGTGATGGAAATCTTTATGGCAACTCTGCACCCCTTCTTTGAGCAAAATAGAAACCAGCTTAGCTTATAGGGCTTTGAGAGGATTAGACATGATTTACGTCAAACGCCTGTAATATAATAAGCACTTAGTAAATGGTCCTTTGTTTCATTATTATCATCATTATTAATACTATTGTATAGAAACTAGTCTCTAAGTAACATATAAGCTGGCAAGGAATGGAAGTAATTTGTTGAGATTTTCTCCTTTTACTGTCACTCCATTCTCCCAATTTCTCAGCATAAAGTTTTTGAGACTCATCTCAGATGCTATATTTTTGTAATTTATATTTTTTTATTTTTAGTTTCTCCCAGCTACAGAGAGGGACAGATGCTACATTTTATCTACAGCTCTTATCTAGCATTAAGCCTCTGTGTGTGCTTAGGGCAGGTGTCGGCCTCAATTTCTCCCTACCAAATATACCTCTATCTTTCATTTGCTTTTTCTTCCTAAGTTTATCCTTTTCCCATTTTTCTTCCTTTAACCACTTCTGTATTCTCTGCCTTATGTGCAACACTGCTGAGTATTGCTGGAAAACTCAGAACAGAAGACAGTCTGATCCCCTAATAGATTAGAATCCAAAAGCAGACTTTCAGGAGACCTGGGCACATTTTTCCCTTTTTAAACAATAAAAGGGTCTGGAATCTGGGCCTTTCCTGTTGAGCTATTGAACCTGCAGTATTTTCTTTTGTCTTGCCAGTACCTATAACTACCTGGGAAAGAAGACAAACCAGATGTTGGAGGCTTTTGAACGAAAGGACTTCTCCTTAGCCCTGAACTACCAGGTAAACATTTTCTTTCCTTCCCACAATCATACTCTTTTTCCTTTCCCACTTGATTCTGTTTTTTTCTTCTCTTATCAACATTCATATACCACATTTGCCCTCATTAAACTCTTATCAACATTCATATACCACATTTGCCCTCATTAAAACTTTCAAGCCACTGCTTTCTTTACCTTTCTTCTGTTTCTTACTTTTCCTTGTTTAAAGCCAAACCTGTCCCCATTGTCCATGTACCCTACATGTTTAATCAGGTCAGGCCTCATACAGGAATGCTTCTTTTTGTGCCTCCTAGACAGGATCTTATTTTTATGCTCTCTTCAAAGTATTTTTGTGATTGTAAAATAGTGGTCATACATTTCTGGGAAAAATGACTCCATGAGAATATTACCCCTGAGTCATCAGAGGAAAAAGGAAATTATAAAGCTGGTAACTTAAAATGGAGAAGGCTTAATCCAAAGTCAGGGCAAGTGAGTCCTGTTCACCCTGGAAATGTGCTAAGAACCGGAAACATCCACTCGGCAGGATACAAGGGCCTAGTCGGTGATCCAAAAGGAGACACTGGCTTTGAAACAGGGATAGAAAAGCAACAGGCACTGACATGTTACCCGGAAGACGCCAGAGGAAATGGTGGCTGCTGTTAATGTTACATCGAGAAGAGCCTTGCTGAAGGCTAGACCTAGTCTCAACAGCTGGTTCTAAAGTGTAAATGGAATGAGATGGAAGGAAATAGGGTAGGCACAAGAAGAAGACTTTGGGGGGCTGTGAAGCAAAGGGATTTCCAGAACAGTGTAAGCAGCTGAGAGGAGTATCCCAGGAAAATAAGTGGGAATGGGAGGGCATCACCCAGATCAGACAGCGTGGTTTGTCCTAATAAAGCTCTGATGTGGAAACTTTTGAACAGGACAAGCTGCCAGCAGGATAATCAGAGATTACAGAGCAGAAGTGCAAAACATCCTTAGGGGTTAGAGGGAGTGACCTACAGCTCCAACCCAGAGAGACCACAAGGAAGCAGTATCCATGAAATCATTCATAATTCATCATAATTATTCCTCAGCCTTAGGCCTCCAAGTCAAGCCAGCATACATCTGCTTCCTCGTGTTTAGATAGTTATATCTATACATGATATATCTCTGCTTTGTCTCCAGAACAGGCAAAGCTAAGAGCAGGCACAAGGTGGGGATTTAGGAAACTCTGTCAACAGAACTAAACATTGACAAGACTTTGGTTAAAATTAGGATAAGAAGTCAGAATTGTGCAGACTCTGCCATCTCCTGGCACTTGTAGTTTCTTTCCTCCTTAGTTGCCTTGAAATGTTATTTCTGAAAATTCTAACCTGTTCTGAGCTGAAGGACAGGGAAACCATAGATGGAGTAAACTAGGAAGCACCTATAATGTTGCCCCTTCTACCTAATGGCTTCTCTCATTAGCTGGCCCAATCCCCAAGTGAAGAAACAGACAAGTAAAAAAAAATAGAGCTGGCTCGGCGCCTGTAGCTCAACCAGCTAAGGTGCCAGCCACGT